TGCACAGCCGGGCAGCTGGAGGTGCTGACTGTGCTTTGTCCTTAGGCGGGGCAGTGTGTGCAGCTGGGGAGGTGGTGGATGCTCACGTGAGGCTAAAATGCACAGTGTAACCTACCTGGTTAGTGCCTTCCTCTAGCGTGTTCACTTTTAAAACTGACTGGTCCAGCACACCATCGTTAAAACCTCTAATTAGCCTCGCTATTCACTTAGGAAATTGTGCATTTCATCCTGTTCAGAATGAACTGATAGGCAATTAAATTTGGAAAGCGGATGGAGTAGAAGTCGTTAAACCAGAAGAAGCTCATTTCTTTTCTGAAGCAAGAGTGGCTGTTTTTGCAAGCGAGTTCATAGCTGTGTTTGGAAATGCGTGCATTCTAATTGCAGTGCTCATTCTTTCAGACAGATTCTGTAATTGTTCTGTGCTGATGCTAAAAGCTGCAAGCATTGCAATTCAATGCAGCAGCAGCTTTGCCTGAAGATGTCTCTCAAGGGGTGGGTGGGAAATCACTGCAGTGTTTGTGTTGTACCAGAGCCTCCTGAGCTCTGTGGAATTGCTCAGACCCCTTGTTAGCTAGCAAAGGGAGACGTACTGAGGGACTCCTTGCTGAACATTTTTGGAGGAAGGCAAGTGCAGGATGGGATGCATTGTGCTGATTCCTGCTGTACGAGAGGAGGTTCTCCTGGACGAAACCAAGAGGCAGCAGCCTGGCTGGGTTGGGGCTGCTGCTCTGCACTGCAGTTGCTGCCATCTCTGCTCTTCCAGCCTGCTCTCCTTCGTTAGCACCATGCCCTGCTCCCCCAGGCTGCACCCAGCCTGCCTTGGCCCTTGCTGGTGGTGTGGGGCTGCGTGTGGCTGCTGAGTGATGCTCCAGGTGTGGAGCGGGGTGGATCAGCTTTGACACAGTCCATCAGCTGCCCTCCATCTCATTGTGGAAACAGCAAAGGCCCGAGGCGTGCTCTGTTTAAAATGCTTGTTCCAGGCAATCAAGCAGGTTTGATTGGCTGAACACTCCTTTTATAATTTAATTTAGTCAGGAATCGTTCGCAAGGTAATAAAAAGAGACTGACTCCAAATACATTCATTTAATTCAATGAGAGATGGTTACTGCGGCAGGCTCGCCTCCACCAGCTTCCCTCACCCCATCACACTGACATCTTAAAGCGCTGCTCGGGACTGTATATAAGAGCCACGATCCACACTGACAGCTTAATTGTTTCTAATGCTGACAAGGGTCACCCCCAAGCAGACATTGCACATTGTGCCACGCTGGCTGGGGAGGCTGCGGAGAGGAGGATTTATGGCTGGCAAATAGTTTAGAATTCCTCTGGTTGCGCCTGCTAAATGATGAACCCTCCCCTTGGGGATTGGGGCTATTGATTGTAATTTGCAGTTAAGCCTTTTGCTTTCTGAGGAATCAGCATAATAAATACCCACCGCATTACGGCAGGGACGTGTTAGCAGGGAGGAGATGGAGCCCAGGCGTGCAGCTCTGGGAGGAGGGAGTAGAGATTGGAGATGTTCCCATGCAGGATGCTTCCCTCCTTGGAGTGCCTGCAGGGCTGCTCAGTCCCAGCCCCGTTGTGAGAGAGCTCGCTGGTGTGTGGCCCCGTGTCCCTGTGATTTCTCTTCCTAAATGTGCTTTGGCTTGTGGGGTGAAGTGGGTCAGGGCCTTTTGCTGTCTGCCCACATCTGGGGCTCGTGACACATCTGTCCTGGGAGGGATAGGGCTGTGGTACTGTCCAGCTGCGTCAGCGTGGGATAAAGGCCAGGGATCAGGGCTGGCTGCCCCTCCAGCTGCTCCATCCGTGCTTCCCCCCCAGCCCTGCACAGGGGAAGATTAGCTCCCATCCCTCCGCTCATGAGCAGAGATGAGAATAATAGCAGTCATCAAATATGCATTGGGTAGCAGCAGCCGGCAGCTGCCGTGCGGCAAATATGGGTCTGCCAGGAGAGTGACGGTCCCTGAGGGAGAGTGCAGAGCCAGCAGTGCCAGGGCGTGCGAGCAAGCCAGGCTACCCAGGTGAGTGCTGTGGGTGCCCCAGGTAGGTGGCTCAAACCCTGGGCTCGTGGGGGCTGCGATGGCCAAGGTGCTGGGAGGGACCTTTGTGCACTGTTGGTCCTTATGCTGCTGTCTTCCCGGTCACGGTACGCAATGTTGTGTCACATCTGCATGTCTGCTCCCAGCCTTTAATCCTCCTTGCCTCCCCTTCCCATGGCCAGTGTTTCTGTTGCTCTCTGGCACAGAGCTTTCTGTCCAAAATACCCCATCCTTCCCCACAAGCATCTGCCCTGCTTTTCTTACCGCTCCTTCCCTGCGTTTCATTTATCCTGCGGATGTGGTACCTCAGGAACCCTCCCTGTCCTGGAAGCCGAGGCCCTTAGGATCAGCTCTGTGGTCAAGGTGACACTGTGGGGCCGTGACCTGGCTGCATGGCATGGCTGGGGCTGTGAGTCAGCATTTTGGGGTGTGTGCCAGCTGGTTTAAGCACGAATCTGTTTGTATCACACCCAGCTGCTCTGTCCTCTGCAGTATCTGCTCCATCCTCTCCTCTGGGTCACGCCTTGCTCCAGGCAGGTTTCCTGGCCAGCCTGGATGCAGCGCATGTTGCCAGGGAACTGCTGGTCCCTGTGCTCTTGGGTTTGGTTTTAGGGATGAAAACGAGCAGCCAGCTCAGAGAGCACCAGGGAAAGACCTGTGGTGCTTCGGGGCTTGGAGGGCTCCTGGGGAGAGGTCTGGAGCCCTTCAGTGGTGATGTGGTCAGAGGACGCTCTGGACCCCATTGCTGTCCCAGGTATCCTCAGCTCCCTGCAGGCTCTGTGCCAAGGGCATGTGGGAAGGCTGTACCTTTAGTATGAGATGGTACGAAGGCGGTCTATGGGGAGATCTGGGCAGGGCTGTGTGGGAGCTCATCTATCTGGGGCTGTGCTGCCCGCTCTCCCTTGTTCTCCCTCTCTTGGTATGTCCTCTTGATGACCCTCATCGCGGCCACAGCCATGGCAAAGCACGGGGAGCTGTGCCGGTGCCATGCGGTGCTGAGAGCGTGGCTGATGCCCACTGCCATGCCATGCCTGGAGGATGTGCAGTGCCATGCACAACTCCTGGAGGATGGAGGGTGGGGGTAGGGATCGCACAATTTGGATGGAGAATAGGAAATGATGGGGACCGTGGAGGGTGGTAGGGTGAAGGTGGGACCTGCAGCTTCCTGGGGTGAAGCACAGCACGGAGGGTTGGGGCTGTGGGGATGGCACAGGGGAGTTGGCAGCCATTGTGCTGCGCTCCATCAGGCTGTGCCAGCAGGTGAATGGTGCGGGGCGCAGGATGGGTGCTCGTGCCTCCAGCAGGGCTGTTACATGTGGCACGGTGATGGCGAGCTGTGCGTGGGCCAGGGTGGGGAGGAGGGGCTGGAACGGTGCCACCTCGCCTGCACGGCGTGCTCTGGGCAGCAAATTCACACCGCTGCTGCTGAAAGTTTCATGAACCCACAGCGGCACGAATCCAGGGCTGGCATTAAGATTTGATGCGGTCACCCCGCAGATGGGCACGTGCGTGTGTGGGCACTGCTGCGGGACACGCAGTGTGCGCACGACATCAGGGTGACCCCACGCTGCATACTGTGGGCTTCCTTGCTTCGAGTGGGTCTCCAGGGTATGATGTGGGCTTGAGGTCCTCCTCTGTGACTCCCCATTGCAACGTAAAGGTGGTAGAGGCTGATTTTAGGTTGGCGACGGTGCTTTGTGCTGATATCAGTGCAAGTGGTGGTGTTTGCGCTCACCTATTGAAGGATGAGTGGCTCTGGACCGGGGCAGCTTTGGGGGCTCAGGGCATTGTTCCTGGGGCACACAGCTGGTAGTGCCCCATTTCAGCCCTTGCAGCGTCCCACTGCAAGCCAGGAGCAGCAGGAACAATGCTTGCTGTAGGGCTTACCCTTTCTACACCATCTGCAGAGGTGTTTCTTGCCTCTCCTTGGCTCCTTCGGAAAAGTCTCCGTGCCTGAGCAGCTCGTCCCTTGCATTATTCATTCTGCTGCAAGCCCCGAGGTTGGGTTACAGCTGGCAGCCCCGCGGCCAGCATCTCGGGCCGGACTCGTGGGGCTGGGTGGGAGGCAGGCGGCAGCTCCTGCCAGCCCTGCACTGCCGGCCCCACGCCATGCCCAGACAGGAGCCCCCGAGGGCAGCCCACGGAGCCACACACAGGCACGTGGCCCACCGAAACCAGGCACAGGTAAATAATCACCTCTGGGATAAGGGTCGACTTGTGGCATCTGTGCAGGGCATCGCTAGGGCTGGAGCGGGCGTGAGAGCCGGAGCATGAGCGGCTGTCACTGGCAGGATGGTCGGCAAGAAGGGGGAGGCCAAAAAGGAGGCGGATGGCAAAGGGAAGGGGGGCAAAGGGAAAGGGAAGGATGGCAAGAAGGGCAAGAAGGAGGTGGTCAGCGAGGTGGAGGAGACATCAGACAGCGAGCTGCTGAAGGAGGAGAGCAAGGAGTCCGAAGCGGTGGAAGAGGAGAAGGAGAAGGTGGAGGAAGAGGAGGAGGAGGCTGCATCGGAGGAGCCCAAGAAGGAGAAAGGGAAGGAGAAGAAAGGGGTGCTGAAGGCGGTGGTGGCCAAAAAGCCGGGCAAGGGGAAGAAGGTGCAGCTGGAACCGGAGGAAGAGGAGGGCGAGAGCGATGCGGCATCAGCCAAGAAGAACCTCAAAGGCGCCTCCAAAGCGGCGGCCGACAATGCCAAGAAGAAGAAAGGAGCCAAGGGCACGGAGGCCAAGGCCCAGCCTGCCGAGGAGGAGCAGGAGGTGGCGGCAGCCACAGCGAAGGCGCGGGCGAAGCGCAGCCTGCGAAGCACCTCCAGGCTCTTCCTGGGCTTCAAGAAGCTGGGGCTGCGGCGGCCCAAGAAGGGGCAGTTCAAGAACACGTCCCGCTTCTTCTGGGGGCTGCATAAGCAGAGCACCAAGAAGAAGAAGAAGAAGAAGAACAAAGCGGTCCTCAAGTCCACCTCCAACCTCATGGTGCGCTTCAAGCACGTGGGGAAGAAGAGGAAGAAGGAGGAGGCCGCGGCCGCAGCCGCCCCGCCGCCCAAGCCAGCCTTCCTGCTGCTGCACCGGGCCGGGCAAGCAGCCGAGGACGGTGCGTCGCTCTTCCGCCGGCAACCGGAAAGGAAATTTAAGCCGCGGGCACAGGTGCTGAGCAAGGCGGCGGCCGCCACGGGCTGGCTGGCCAGGAAGCTGCTGTCGCGGCGCGGGCGGCTGACGGGGGGCAGCCGGGCAGCTGACACAGCCTGGTTGTCCCGCATCGGCGCCAAGAAGCTGCCGTTCCCTGCAGAAGAAGAGATCCTCAGGCACCGAGCCAACATGAGGCGGCTGCCGGCCGGCAGTGGGCCCGCGGCTCCCGTTGCTGAGCGGCGCAGCAGCATGGCGAGGCGCACGTCCTCCCAGCGGCGGTTGCAGCACGGCAGGGCCACGGGGACGCCTGCCCCGCGCTACGGGTGGGCCCAGGAGGAACAGGGTGCGGCCTATGGACGCCGGCATGGGTATGGCAAGGAGGAGCAGGAGGGGCCCTATGGGATCCGTCATGGATACGCCAAGGAGGTGCCAGGTGGGGCCTATGGCCGCCATCTTGGCTACGCCAAGGAGGGTGATGGACCCTATGGCCGTCGGCGTGGATATGCCGAGGAGGAGGAGGAGGAACCCTATGGCCTGCAGCACGGATATGAGGATGAGGAGGAAGACTACATGCACTCACCCACTGCAGCTTACCCACCAGGGTATGGCTTTGAGGACGCGGTGCCGACCCACTACGTTGATTACCCTGGCTATGAGACAGAGGATGAGTACGGATTCGATGGAGGGTTTTGGGATGAGAATGAGCCGCTGGAGCACCCCTATGGCTACTTGGAGCCCGAGGATGAGGACTATGGGTCCCCGCTCCACCTCTACGACCCTTACAGCAGTGACCCAGAGTACAGCGAGGAGGTGACAGGACCCTTTGGTTACAGGAAGGACCCCTATGAGGACTTTGGGGAGCCCCTTGGCCTCACGGCTGGAGGGTACATGGGGGATGAGTACCCCGAGCACCGCATCCAGTACAGTGAGGGTGGGTGGGCACCACGTACCCAATCTTCCTGCAATCCCTACGCTCTGGGGCTGGACGAGATATCAGAGGCCGAGGAACCAGAAGATTGGCAGGAGGAAGACAGGGACTATCCCTTCTCCATCCTCAGCACCTCCTCGCTGAAGGGCATGCGGGACACGCTGTCCTCCAAGCTCTCCCTCAACAGGAAATTCAGGCTCTTCCCAAGGCCCCAGGTAAAGCTGTTTGGCAGGGACCGCCTGGACATCTCCCTGCCTCCATCCCCGCACCGCGATGAGGATGACTACGATGAGTATGAGCCGCCAGCCACCAGCCCCAAAGCAAACCGGGGGGGCCGGGTGTCAGCAGCACGGGTGTGTGGGAGCCCTTTGGGGCAGTTCCTGCAGCGTTCCCTTTCACAGCTCCAGCCCCTCGGCCGTGCGCTGCGGGGCGTGGGGAATCCCTGGGACCGCGGTGCTCCCCAGCCCTCTTACAAGCGCTTTGGCCACGGGACAGAGCGTGCCGGGTCAGTGCGGGTGGGTGGCAGCCGGGATCCCCCGCCCCGTGAACCGGGAGCTTCACGGCCGTCCTCTCTCCGCAATCCCTTTGTAAACCCCATGCGCTCCCTATCGCCACCACCAGCCCAGCAGCACCCCAGCAGCGTGCGAGGTGAGCGGCCGCGGCGCTCCGTGTCTTTCGGGGCCAGCTTCCGCCGTGAGCCCCCTGCTGTGCCGCGGGCACCCCCAAATGCCGCGCCGCCAGCTCCAGCAGCACGGCATTCGGGGGTGTCGGGGAGACCCCTGACCCCGCGGCCGTCACGGCGGTGCAGCTCTCCTGGGGTGAGTCCCCCGGGACGGCTCCCCGCGGCCTGGCCTCGGCAGCCGGAGCCCCCCACCAAGGCTGTGAAGCCTCTGATGAGGAGCTCCTTCCTTGCACCGCCCTCACGCCCCGGCAGCCGCCGACTCAACCCTTCCTGGGAGGAAGCCCCCGGCATGGAGCTGCCTCCCTGGCAGAGCACGCCCCCACCGCCCAGCCCTGCGTCTGGGACCCCCAAATCCTTCATCCAGCGCATCGGGCAGCCCCTCGCTGGCATGGCCCCGCGCTCGCCACCGCCAAGGCCGCCTCCTGCCGAATCCGGGGGACGCAGCCCATCCCCGGGACGGATCCGTCACGTGGGGCAGTCCCTGGCGTCGCTGATCGTGGGGAGCATGCCCTCCTCCAAAGCTCCCTCGTCCCCACCGCCTGCCCGCCGCCCCCTTTCTCGCTCGCCCTCCCCACCGAGACGCGCGTCCCGGAGAAATGTGGGCACCCCCAGCTCTCCGAGCCCCAATGTGGGGAGCCCCCATCTCTCTTCCTCCCCTAGCGCCCGCCGCCGCAGTCCCCCACCCCGCGGCCGCATCCCCGGCTCGCCCCCCATCCTCCGCCGCAGCTTCCGTGCCCCCGAGCCTGCGGAGAGCGAGGCCGTGGCTGGGGAGGACGGCGCTGGGCGCTACGCGGTGGTGACGCCGCAGATCCAGAGGTTGGGCTCCTTCCGGAGGGCGTCCCGCATGTACAAGCAGCACTGGTCCAAGCAGCACGTCGTGCGGGTGCGGGAGATGCCCGACGCCTGGACGGCCGAGCAGGGCTACAGCCGGCACCCCGCCGAACGCGGGCGGCAGCGGGCGAGCCAGAGGGGAGCCGACATCGGCCGGTACCTGGGCCAGCGCTCAGCGAGCGCCTGGAGGGACAGGCACCCCTGGGCGGACGGGTACCTGGGCAGCAAGCAGCCCTGGCGCAGCAAGGTAATGCCGGCCGTGCAGTGAGCGAGGGGTGGTTCGTCACAGAGATCGTTATGGGATGGAGATGGTGGGCGAGTGGGCGTCGCGTCCGGCCCCGACCACCAGCACCGCCCTGCCTGCTGGGAGGGGAAAGTGCGGTGCAGAGGGGTGTAAGGCAGCCAGAGCCACGGGCTGCGTTGGCAGGGTGGGGGGCGAGCGGCTGGGGGTGGTGGTGGGGTCCTGCACGGGGACCGGGCTGGATGGGGGACGGTTGTTGCATGGCCCCCCCGTGCTGCAGACACCTGACTCTGGCTGGCTGCAGCCCGCGTATGGAAATGCTGAGATCTGATCTGCAGGATGGGGCGGGAGAGGTTTCGTTAGCGGGAGGCACCACGACCCCGGCCGGTGTCTGCTTTCCTGCCCACTGCTGGGCGGGAGCCAGCAGGGGCTGCGTGCAGGCTGAGGTGCAGGGATAGATGTAGTGCTGGGTACAGCCGTGATGCTAGGGACTGCTGTGGTTCTGGGTACAGCTGTGAGTCATTGGGTTCGGAAAGGAACTCAACTCCAACTCCAGCCCACTACACCAACCCACGTCCCTCGGTGCCACATCTGCCCACCTCCCTGGGCAGCCCGCGTGCAGCCATCTCTGCCTGTTTCTGCTCAGGATCTCCAGCAACAGCAATGGAGCAGTCCCAAGCGTTGCCTCACTAGGGCTGCTCCCGATTTTCAGCCCTGCTCTCTGCAGATGTGATACTTTTGTTACAGGGACTCATTTTAGGGCCACAGGTGATTGCTTGGGGTCCCTGCACTTACTGGTACTGGGGTCATAATGGCAATTTGGGGCAGTGGCCGTGACCCAGGTTGGATGTAGCAAGGGAATGGCGATGCTGTGATGGTGCCCATGCTGTCTCCCCGTGTAGATGCAGTCGCTGTGCAGCCTGCCCATCGTGCGCTACCAGGAGCCGCAAGAGGAGGATGGGCTGGAGGACATGACCCAGTTGGAGTGAGTGCCGTGGTCCCATCCAGGGACAGTTCCATCCCCATGGGGCTGTGGGTCCTGCGCCCCTCCTGCTCCTTAATACAGCCTCCCCCTGCACCAGGGACCTGCAGGAAGCCGCGGTGCTGAGCAACATCCGCACACGCTTCGAGCGCCAGCTCATCTATGTAAGGACAGGGCTGCAGGGGTCCCCCGGGGGCACTGCTCCCCCAGCGCTCTCAGCCTCTTGTTGCTCTCCTGCAGACCTACATTGGCAGCATCCTGGTGTCGGTGAATCCCTACCGCCTGTACAACATCTACGGGATGGAGCAGGTGCTGCAGTACGAAGGCAGGGCGCTGGGCGAGAACCCACCGTGAGTACTGTGTTGCTGTGCCACCACCCAGACCTGCAGAGCCTGAGCTGCCCATGTTGGGGTGACACAGTGCCTCCCACTGCTTCCAGGCACCTCTTTGCGATTGCAAACGTCGCCTACTCCAAAATGATGGATGCCAAACACAACCAGTGTATCGTCATCAGGTGAGGGGTGGCCATCCCCACGCACTGCCCGTAATTAGCACTGCCCTGATTGCACAGGGCGCACCAGCCCAGCCCCACGGGTATCTCTGGGCATGGGGTGCATTAGGGCTGCATTGGGTGGGTGTGTTAGGGCTGGGCTCTGTCTTTCAGTGGGGAGAGTGGCTCAGGGAAGACGGAGGCCACCAAGCTGATCCTGCGCTACCTGGCAGCCGTCAGCCAGAAGCGCAGCACTGCACAGCAGGTAGGGGCTGCCACTCTCCCTGTCCCCACCCCTGTCCCCATCCCTGCCTCCCTCCACCGGCTCCACCGCTCTCTCCTTGTCCCCATGCTTCCACCTGGACCACGGCAGATAGAGGTACTCATGGGGCATACAGACTGAGATGGCTCAATGAGGCTGAGCAACATGGTGGCATTTCTGCCACATCACCCCATCTACATGGGGACAGTGAGGGTGGGAGCTGCATGTGCATGGGGTTGTTGTGCTGTGCTGCATCCCAGTGTGGGCTGGTGATGTTGCACGCCTCCAGTCTAGGTGTGCAATGGTGGTGACGCAGCCAGGGGGGTTGGCACAGCATGTCTTGTGGCTGTTGGGGATCCTCACCTGTGCTCTCCCCGTTGGCTGTGGGCAGATCCTGGAGGCAACCCCGTTGCTGGAATCCTTCGGCAATGCCAAAACTGTGAGAAACGACAATTCCAGCAGGTTTGGGAAATTTGTGGAAGTCTTTCTGGAGGAGTAAGTAACACCCATCATTCTCACATGGCCACTCCCACCCCATGTCCTCCCCATCCCGGTGCCCTGCCCTGCTCCTGGACCAGCCCCATCAATCACAGCTGGGGTGGGACACACACACATTGCTTCTTTTGGGAATGAAATGTGAGAAGGGGAAAGGCAAAGACAGGAAGACACGTGGCATTTGTCGTCTCCTGCCCATGATGCAGCAATGCTGTGCCAGAGGTGGGCAGCCTGACTGCCTATGGGTCCCCATGGTCCCTCCTGATCAGCACCACCAATCCCATAGGGATATCCATAGGGATGACCAATGTTACCTTGGGATGCACAGCTCCTGCCATGCTTGGGAGCCCACTGGGAGGAACCTTGGGTTGGGGGTGACAGCTGCATATAGCAGGAGAAGGGGGGGGGGGGGCCACGGAGCCATCCTGCAGACCCCCAGGTTGTCAGCCAGGTGCCCGCTCTCGCCCCTGCAGTGGTCTGATTTGCGGTGCCATCACCTCACAGTATCTGCTGGAGAAATCCCGTGTGGTCTTCCAGGTGGGTGCCAGGGGGATCCCTTCAACTTTATCCACATGCCTCCCTTGCCCTGCAGCTCATCCCTCTGCCCCACAGGCCAAAAGCGAGCGCAATTATCACATCTTCTACGAGATGCTGGTGGGGCTGCCTGCCCAGCAGCGGCAGTGCTACTGCCTGCAGGGAGCTGAGACCTACTACTACCTGAACCAGGTGGCCAGCCCCTGCCTCCTCCTAAGCCTTTCCAGGGGGCTCATGGGGTCCCTCTGTGCCATTCCCCTTGAAGTCTGGGGGTGCTGATGGCTCTGGGGTCTGTGGCAGGGTGGGAACTGTGAAATCCCCGGCAAGGATGATGCAGAGGATTTCCGCCGTCTGCTCAACACCATGGAGGTGCTGGGCTTCAGTGTGGATGAGCAGAACAGCATCTTCCGCATCCTCTCCTCTGTCCTCCACCTGGGAAATGTCTACTTTGAGAAATATGAGGTATGTGAGCCAACCCGGTGCCGAGTTCTTTTGACCCAATTTGGGGTACATACAAAGGGAATGCCCTGTTCCTTCACTGTGTGTCCTGCAGACGGACTGCCAGGAGATTGCAACAGTGGTGAGTGCCACAGAGATCCGGACAGTGGCTGAGCTGCTGCAGATCTCCCCCGAGGGCCTGCAGAAGGCCATCACTTTCAAGGTGACGGTGAGTGTGTGGGGGGGGGGACACCACTCCAGTCTGACAGATGCGTTGGTGACCGTGGCTAAAATCTCAGTCACATCAATGCTTTGTGTCCCCAACTAGGAAACACTGCGGGAGAAGATTTTTACCCCCCTGACTGTCGAAAGTGCCGTGGATGCTAGGTAAACAGAGGTGGTCTGGGAGTGAGAAGATGGGGACATCGCAGTAGGGGACAGGGAAAAAGGGACGATCTCTGTGCAGATCTGGTGCTAGAGGCCATGCGTGCAGACCTGTGTGTGATGTGCATCAGCCAGGCTGTACAGAGTGCTGCAGGTGCACAGGCAGGGTGCCTTGGTCAGTGCTCTGCTCGCCTACCCCTTGCAGGGATGCCATTGCCAAGACCCTCTATGCCCTGCTCTTCGGCTGGCTCACCGACCGCATCAACAAGCTGGTGTACCCACGGCAGGATGCCCTTTCCATTGCCATCCTGGACATCTATGGCTTCGAGGTGAGCAAAGACCTCACTGTACACTCTATTTCCCCAATTTTGCTGTGAATAGCTCTGGATAGTTTCATACCCCACTGCTCTTTTTTGCAGGACCTCAACTTCAACAGCTTTGAGCAGCTGTGCATCAACTATGCCAATGAGTACCTGCAGTTCTTCTTCAACAAGATTATCTTCCAAGAGGAGCAGGTGGGCAGGGGAGCAGAGCCACACTCTGCTCATCTCCGGCCATGTCTCCATGGATCTGGGGATTTTGGGGTGTCAAAATGTCCAGCCCGGGGTGCAGGGCTCAGTGAGCCGCTGCCATGGCAGGAGGAGTACCTGCGGGAGCAGATTGAGTGGAAGGAAATCCCCTTCAATGACAACCAGCCCTGCATCGACCTCATCTCCCAGAAACCCTACGGCATCCTCCGCATCCTGGATGACCAGAGCTGCTTCCCCCAGGTGAGGCTGCCCCGAGCTGAGGCACCGAGAATGGCACCACCAGGTTGTCACCATGCCTGGGTGTCACCAAGGCTGCTCAGCTCCTGGGCTATCCTGGACCATCTGGGAGGCCCGCTGTTACCTGGCTGGGTGTCCCCATCCTGCTGCCACCAAACTGCCTGAGCTGTGCCGTGGAGCCTCACCTCGCTGTCTGCCCCCAGGCCACGGATCACACATTCCTGCAGAAGTGTCACTACCACCATGGGACCAACCCGCTGTACACCAAGCCGAAGATGCCGCTGCCCGAGTTCACCATCAAGCACTACGCGGGGAAGGTGACCTACCAGGTGTGTGATGGGTTACAGAGCTGACGTGGAGGGTCGTGGAACTGATGGTAGAATCATAAAGGTTAGTAAAGATCTCCAAGATCACCAAGTCCAACCGTTGATCCATCACCACCATGTCCACCAAACCATGTTCCTAAAGGGCAGCCCCAGGGCTCTGGGTGGGGGCTGGGAGTGGTCCCCCTCCTGCAGAATCCCAGCCTGGAGCTCCTCACCTCCCTGCTGGGCTCCTCACCTTGAGGTTTTGCCCTTTGCCAGGTTCACAAGTTTTTGGATAAAAACTATGACCAGGTCCGTCAGGACGTGCTGGACCTGTTCATTAGCAGCAGGACCAAGGTATGGCCCTGCCTGGGGCACCGGACACAGACACATGCTGCTTGTAATGTCTCCAAGCATTTGTCCCCCACTCAAGGGGATCAGCAGCAGATGGTGCGACCCCATGCCCTTTTGCCACAGGGCTCCCCAGCCTTCATGTCACACAGACTGTTCTTGAGTGGCCACCAGGGCCACCTTCCTGCTCCATAACCTTTCCTGTCCCTCCAAGGTGGTGGCCAACCTGTTCTTCAGCCATGCCCAGGTGCTGGCCCGGCAGAGGAGCCTGGTCAGGAGGAGCAGCACCAGGACGCGGCGTTACAAGGCTCCCACTGTGGCTGCACGGTTCCAGCAGTCTCTCCTGGACTTGGTGGAGAAAATGGAGAGGTTGGCACAAGCAGAGCACTCATGAAACTGCTGGAGGGAGGGGGGTGGTTGGACCCACGTCCCTGGTGGCCAGGCTGGCTTTGTCCCATGTCCCTTGATGGCGTTTCTCCAACACAGGTGCAACCCCTTCTTTGTGCGCTGCCTCAAACCCAACAACAAGAAGGTGAGCACAGTGGGTGCGTGGTGTCATGTGGGTCCTCAAGTCTCCACACCCTTCGCTGGTGAGGATCTGCCCACATGGCCACCAAGGCTTCACTTCTTGTTCCCCTAGGAGCCAGGACTGTTTGAGGCTGATGTGGTCAGCAGCCAGCTGCGCTACTCGGGTATCTTGGAGACCATCCGCATCCGCAAGGAGGGCTTCCCCATCCGCATCCCTTTCTTCGTCTTCATCGACAGGTGCCTGGGGTGTGCAGGGTGATGGCTGTGGTTTGATCACTGCCAGCTCTGGGGAACCCACAGCAGGGAGCTGAGAGCCCCCCAACTTGGGTTCAGAGCGCCAGGAGAAGTTGCTGTCCCAGGCAATGGGGAGGGCCCATGCCAACATGATGGGAAAAGTCCCATCTGGTAGCAGTGCTGGTGACAGTGCTGTGGGCCCTCCCAGGTACCGCTGCCTGGTCGACATGTGGTCCAATGTTGTTCCCAATGGGGCCAACTGTGTGGAAATGCTGAGGAACCTCTGCCCCGTCAACCCCAGCATGTACTATGTCGGCGTCAGCAAGGTACCAAAGGGCTGCTGGAGAATTTGAGGTGCTCAGGTACAAGTGATGTACCATGGGGGCTCACGGCGTGCTCCCCCCAGCTCTTCCTGAAGGAGCAGCTGTACCAGGCACTGGAGAGCAAGCGTGCCCGTGCCCACCACCTGGCTGCACTCACACTGCAGCGCTACGCCCGCACCTTCTTCATCAAGAAGCGCTTCCGCTCCCTGCGCCGAAAAATCGTCCTGCTGCAGAGCCGGGCACGTGGCTACCTGGCCAGGTAGGGCTGGGGTCACTGGGGTGGGGGGTCAGCGGGGGGCACAGGATGATGGGATGCCCTCCTGCAGGCAGCGGTACCGCCGCATGAGGCACACGCTCATCAAGTTCAGGTCGCTGGTACACATCTATGTGAACCGCCGGCGGTACCTCAAGGTGAGGTGGGCAACGGGGGCACCACCAGATCCTGGAGCTCTTCAGTTCCATCCCCACCACATCCTTGGTGGCGTGGATAGGGAGCACCAGAGCAAGAGCACCTTGGTGTCGTCCCGTGCCTCTGGGTCTCCGTGGTGCTGGGGCTTATGTGTAGCATCCCTGTGCTTGCAGAGGAAGGAGGATGCACGCCGGCGGGCAGAGGAGGAGAAGGAAAGGATGAAGCAGGTAATGGAGTGATGCTCTCGTGCCCTCACCCATTGGCCATGCCACAGCACTCTGGTATTGGGGATGAGGAGGAGAAGCTCGGAAATGGGGCCCCATCCCTGTGCTCACGGCAGGAGCTGACAAGGAGGGAGGTGGTGGATGTGACACACCTGGAGATCCCTGCTGAGCTGATGGGGCTGCTGGAGGCCGCGGCAGGTGAGTGGGTCAGGCACAGCCCTCAGCCTGCACCACCCTCAGCCCCATCCCTGGCTGTGGGTGCCAGAGCTGCTGGCTGTGTGCTGCAGCTGCCCGTGAGGTGAACGCCAGCTGTGTGGTCCTGGTGCCACCACCAGCATTGCAGCCTGACTCCCAGCTCACCCTGCCCCTCGACATCAATGATTACTCCATGGCCAAGTACGTGCGGGGCCACTTCCAGGTAAGGGTGGCATCGGCCGCCTGCCCCAGCAGACAGGGGGCTCGCGGGGGTCCTCATTGCCCTGGATGTGGTGCAGCTGTTAGGTTTGGGGTCCCCAAGGTGGTGCCATGGGGCGCGAGTGGGGCTGGCTGCAGGGTGGCTGCGGTGCTGCGTGGAGCTGGAGGTGGCCCCCCTCCGCCCGCCCTCCCTGTGGGTTCTGTTGTCTCCAGGGGCCACGGGGACCCCGCTGAGGTTATTGGAGAGAGACCCGCCGAGCCCTCCTGGACACCCAACGCGGGGCCAGGAGACCCAGGTCGCTTTGTTCCTTGGCTCTGGCCACTTTGTGTCTTTCCTCTTCCTCCTCTTCCTCTTCTTCCTCTTCCTCCTCTCCCTCTGTTTACACTGTGTGTTTCCAAGTCCCCGGGATCCTCAACAGCATCACATCCTTCTCTCAGCCTCCACAAGGTGTCGGCCCCATCCCACATCCCGACCCTTTCTCAGTCCCAAAGTCTCCATCCTCAACACTCAGAGCATTCCACTGCGTTTCCCCTGGTGGCAGTGGCAGGGTCCCCTATGGGGGCATGTAGCCACGGGTGTGGGTGTCACCACAGGAGCCGGCCTTTGGGATGCTGACGGCCCCACTGGTGGCCCCGCTCACCCGGCTGGATAAGGAGCTGTGCCATGAAGCACTCAGCCTCTTCAAGTTGGTAGGTGGGAGAGCGCAGAGTGAGGAAGAGGAGCTGAGCTGGAAGGAAGGAGACAGACAGCCTCCACCCCACTCTGCCCTTACAGATCCTGCGCTTCATGGGTGACCCGGGGCTGGGTGGCAAGCAGGAGACTCTTTTTGGCAACTACATCGTGCAGAAGGGGCTGTCGGCACCGGGGCTGCGGGATGAGCTGCTGGCACAAGCAGCCAACCAGGTCTGGCGCAACACCAACGTCAACAATGAGGAGCGGGGCTGGCTGCTGCTGGCTGCCTGCCTCAGTGCCTTCCCCCCATCCGCCGCCTTCGACAAGTACTTGCTGAAGTGAGCTGGGGATGGGGGCTTGCTGGGACCCCAGGGGTTGGTGTGGGATGGGGTCTGGGTCCATTGTGGGGATAATCTGGAATGCGTCACTGGGGACAGTGCCCAGATCCCACAGAACACTGTGGGTCACGTGTTTAGAGACAGCCTGGTAACAGTGCTGGGTGCTTCCAGCATCCCCTAGGACCATCCTGGCACATGCGCCCATGGATGCTGCTCCTATCTGGGAGTGCTCTAAGGTGCCCATGTGGTCACTGAGGGTCAGCCTGGTGCAAGTGTCTGAGGATGCTGTTCCCATCTGAGGTCCCTACCATGTTTCCTCGGGGTCAATCTGATACATGTCCCCAGAGACACTGCTCCCATCTGGGAGTGCTCTGAAGTCCCTCCATGGTCCCTTCCAGCCTGTGTCTGGGACTCCCACAGGGTCACCCCTTGGTAGCCGTCCTTTCCCCACAGGTTTGTCTCCGACTACGCCTTTGCTGGCTACAAGCCGGTGTGCCAGCGCAAGCTGATGCACGCCATGGCACGGTCCCAGCTGGGTGCCCGTGCTTACCCACCCTCACTGCTGGAGTGGACAGCGAACCGGCGGCAAGCCAGCATGGCACTGCAGCTCTTCTGCTTCAATGGTGTGGGGTGGCACAGAGCTGGGTTTTTGGGGGGAGTCCCAGTGCAAGAGAGCACCTCGGAACCAACTCACCACCCATCCTTCCCCAGGCGACCAATTCTCCTGCCCCGTGCACTCCTGGAGCACTGGTGAGGACCTGGCAGGAGATGTTCTGAAGCACAGGTACCACCAGCTTGGCTTCCCGCAGCTCCCCCTAAGCCATCTGGGATGACCTCAAATCTGGAGTGGGAGCCACGCTGCCCAGCTCTTGGGCATGGTATCCCCCAGAGCGGGGTCAGCCTGTCCCCAGTGTCCTGCTGTCAGCAGGGGGCTGGTGGAGGGCTGGCGCGGGTGGTCCGTGGCCATGAAGGTGGGCACCCAGTGGGCTGAGCTGGCTGGCCATGATTATGTCCTGGACCTCATCTCCGACCTGGAGCTGCTGCAGGGTTTTCCCAAGCAGAAGTCCTGCTTCCTCATTGCCTGGGACGGGGCGGGGAGCCGGGACCATGCCAGCCGGGCGTAGGTACCCGGGATGGGACACAGCCCTGCAGTCGGCACAGGGCTGGATGGGTGCTTTAGGGACACGGGTTGGTGCAAATCCTCACTCTCTGTAGGGTTCATCCCATGGATTTGGATGAAGTGCCGCCTCCTCCGGCTGTCAGAGCACCCACGCTGCCATCGCTGGTGGAGGCAGAGGGGTACCCACCGCATGGTAGGGCAGCTGCTGGCCACTAGCTGCCCATTGGGCTGTGCTCACTGCAGGGTTTCTGGGCTCATCCTGCCCTCTGCCCACCAGACACCGACTTTGGGGAGCACAGAACCCAGAAGGGTTTGGATCGGTACCTGGACAGCCTCTTTGACCCAGTGCTCTCCTATGGCAACGGGGTGAGTGGCGTCCCCCTGCCCGAGGGTCAGCAGAGCCAGGGGCACGGGGCATAGCACAGCCTCCATGGCGGGGCTGTGCCTCAGTTTCCCCTGGACACCTGGTCATCAGGAGCTGGAGAAGCCTGCTGCCATCGTGCAGAGGATGAAGGGAGGCGGCAGCGTGGGAGGGGCGGACAGCAGTAGCGATGCCAAGCAGCAGCAACCTGCCATGCCCACTGACACGCAGCAGCCAAGGGGTGAGCTCCTGGGTCCCTCCCTGTCCCCATGCCATAGTTTCCTCACCTGATCCCCAGTCCTTCGACTTGGGGAACACCCTGGGCCCCCGCAGTTCTCAGTGCTGAGCTGGCTGAGCTCTCCATATTGCCTTCACAGGTGCGGAGCCAGCATCACCCCCACAGAACCACACAGACCCCAGCCCACCAGGGGCCCCGGTCAGTGGGGCAGGACTGGGAGGGGCTGAACCCACTCCTGTCCAGGCTGCTCCCCAGCCATGGGAATACTGGGGAGCAATGGGGCACGGGATAGGTCCTCATGGTACAATTCCACCTTGCAGGGCAGAGCAGCAGAGGGGGCACCCACACGAGCCCCACAGCCCCGGCCCTACTCACAGAAAGCAGGTAAGGGATGCCTGGGCCAGGAGCTTGATGTCAAATGGGCTGATTGCCCATACAGTCCCCATGAGCCACGGTTTGTCATCACAGCACCCACAGGCTGGCAGTGGAATGGCGAGCCAGTGCAGCACTCCCGGCTGAACTCGGAGCACATCCCACGGCCCACACACAACATCCGTAACATCATCCGGCAGTGCCAGCCCACTTCACGTGGCCCCCAGCCCCACAGGTACCCCCAGGCCCTGTTCTGAGCTGCTGGGGCTGCCAACTGCGTCCTCCTGCCCCATTACCCTCTTACTGGAGGATGTGTGATGCTGGGATGTGGGTGACACTGGGACGTGGGCGATGCCTGGATGCAAGCGATGCTGTGGTTTGTGTGACATCAGGCTGCTGTCTCCACAGCAAGCTCTTTGGGAAGAAGCTGGATCCCCACGAGGAAGCCTTGCAGATCCTGAAGGAGCAGCTTTCAGCAGCCCGGGTGCCTGCGGCTGCGGTAGGGATGCGGCCACCCTTGTGCCTCCTGTGCCAGGCTGGGGGAGCCGCCAGCCCCATTAGTCTGCTTGCTGCCTCGCAGGGGATCACGGAGGCTGTGGCTGAAGTGAAACCGGTCCCCGGTGGCAGGTACCAGATGAGAGCACCAATGGGGCGACTGGGAGCCTCCCGGCCTCCAGGTATTGCAGGGCAGAGCCACACTGGGGTCCCAGGGCAGTGGGGCAACTTGTCTTTCCCCCGTGGCACCGGGTCTGGATGCAGGTCCCGCTCTGCAGCATCCTCATGAGATAAGGGCTGTGCCCTCCCTGACCCACAGTGGTTCCCATGCCTCGGTTACCCCTGGCAGAGAGGAGCTGTCAGCTGTCCTCCCCCAGGGTCATGCAGGGCTTTCCATCCCTTTGCAGTCTTCGTGTCGAGGGAGCTCCCATCTGAGGCACAGCAGGTGCAAACCCAGCTTCACCGCAGCTGCAGCGAGGACTTCTACACCTACTGCAATGTGCCCTGGAAAATATACATCCGCAAGGAGGTGCAGGGCTGGGGACAGGGCTGGGACTGAGGACAGGGCAGGAGACAGCCTGCTCCATGTGGCATGGGGGGAAGTCAGGAGGACATGGTGTGAGCAGCAGCATCTGCTCCATGCTCCAGCGGAACAGTACCTGTTCCTTCTGTACTGGAATAAGACTGGTGTCAAATCTCTGCATGGATAAAGGGGATTTTCCCCAGCTGAGCTGTGCCGGTGTCCCTCTTGGCAGGTTTTCTACCCCAAGGACAGCTTCAACAACCCGCTGCTGCTGGACCTCATCTTCCGGCAGGTGAGGAGCTGAGCCGGCCCCGCATCTCCACCTTCAGCTCCACAGAGCTTCTCACAGCTCCGCTGAAGGCAGGGAGAGCTGGGGGCATCGGGGACACATAACTCCCTGTGCTTCTCGCCCCAGATCTTCACTGACACGCTCTCTGACACCTGCATCCGCATCAGCCCTGAGGAGCGGCTCCGCATGAAATCCCTCTTTGGTAATGCTCACCTGCACCCCAAATACTGCTATTCCTGGGAGGGAGAGAGAAGCTCAAAGTGGGCTGCTCCCATTCTCCCACTCTGGCAGCTCTCCATTTCTTGCCACAAGCGATTCTGCTTAAACGTGAATCAGTTTTGCCTGTAAATGAGCTGGCTGTGCCCTGGTGTTTCACAGTCACAAGTTGTGCTGGGGCTCAGCCAGGCTTGCTGCTTTAGAGCGATTTGTTTCACTGTTCTGGTCGTGCTGGGAGATGGGATGAGCAACCTCATCTCACACCAGAACCCCCATCCTGAACCCCTTTGCTTTCCCCACAGCGGAAAACAAGCTGGACTCCTTCAGCCCCGTGGCCACTGAGAGTGTCAAGAAGGAGATTGTGACAGCCGCCCGGGACAGCTGTGAGGTTTATTTCTCACGCCTCTTCCCTGCCACGGTGAGGGCACATCGTGGGCTGGGACATGGTGGTGACAGTCCCCGTGCCCGGCTGATGTGCAGTGATGTGCAGGGCAGCGTGGGGACGGGCGTGCAGATCCTGGCTGTGTCCCACACTGGCATCAAACTGCTGCGGTTGGTGAAGGGCACCAACATGCCTGGGGAGCAGCTGCGTGTGCTGCGGGTGTACAGGTAGGGGCTGCCCCATGCATCCATCGGGATGGGAGCTGTGGGTGCCCGGTCCTTCACCCTGCCCTCTACTTGCCCCAGCTATGCAGACGTGCTCTTCGTGGCCACCCCGTCCAGGAACATGTTGGAGTTCAACCTGAGCAGTGAGAAGTTCATCCTCTTCTCCCCAAAAGCTCCTCAGGTGAAGGCCATGGTGGATCACTTCATCACGGAGCTCAGGAAGGTGGGGGACACATCTTGGGGATGGGGAGGGCAGTAGGGGACAGTCTACTCATGAGACATTGTCTGGGACCTGTGAGGTTTGGTGGGGTTGGCACCCTGGGGTGGTTCTACAGGTGTTTGAGGCCACTGTGCATGGGCATGCACGCATTTCCACAGATGTGCATGCATTTCCATGGGTGTGCATACACTTCCATGAGTGCATGTGCATGCATGCATGGGCTGTGCCAGCCCCCCCTACCCCCAGGACTCCCAGTATGTTGTAGCTGTGAGGAACTACAGCCCTGAAGATGGGGCTCAGCTCAGCTTCCACAAAGGAGACATCATTCACCTGCAGCCACTGGAGCACCCCAAGAGAGGTGAGCCACCTCCAGTCCTCGCCCCTTGCCCTTCATGAGCTCAAGGGTCCCCACCCCACCCTCAGCCAGGGATAGCTCTGGGGACAGGTTGGTGGCCACCCCTGTGATATCCATGGCCATGTCCCCACAGATCACTACTACGGCTGCGTGGTTCGCAAGAAGGTGATGTACCTGGAGGAGCTGAAGACTGGCACCCAGGATTTTGGTGGGTGGCTCTGCGGTGTCCCTGTGAGTGTCCCCAGTGTGTATCCGTCTGACCTGAGCCTTGTTCCACCCTGGGGCTGGGTCCCACTTCTGTTGCCCCCAAGCAAGCAAGCTGGCTTTGGCTCTTTTTAACATCAACCCAAAGCAAAGGGATGCTCCCCTGTGGTTCCCATCCTGGATGGTTGTAGCACTGAGTGCTGCTCCACGTCCCTGCATCCAGTGGTGTCTGTGTCCCCTCTGCTGTGTCCTTGCCTCACACAATGCAAAGCTGCAGCTGCTTCCAGCTGAAAGCCACAGCCAGATTCCATGGTGAGGGCTTGTGGGTGCCACAGGGGTGACACCTGGGACCATCCCCACCTCTCTGCCTGATGCAGGGTGGAAGTTCGGGGCCATCCATGGCAGGTCAGGGCTCTTCCCGGCTGAGTTCGTCCAGCCCGTTGCAGCCCCTGACTTCGTCCACTTGCCAGCGGGGAAGAAGGAGGAGCCTGGGGACAAGAAGGGCAGGGTGGCAGCCTCAGGGGCCGTGGCCATGGCTGTGGCTTCCACTGCTGTGGCACAGGAACTGGATCGCAAAACTGAGGTAAGTGTTGCTCTGGGGCTACAGGTTGCCAGCTATGCTCTGTGCCCAGTGCTGGCCATGCCCTGTGCCTACCGCTCCTTTCTGCAGGGGTCTCCAGCCAGCACCGCCTTCCCAGAGGGTCCAGAGGGTGACAGCAGCCAGCAGCTTGGGGACGGTGCAGAGAGCTGCTCCATGCTGGCCTTTGCCAGGCGGTATTTCCGTGCAGCACAGCGTGGGACCACGTGAGTGCCCGATGGAGGGATGGGGACACCATGGGGATGGCTGTGCCCACCCGCTCCCTCATCCCTCTCTCTTAGGGAGTCCTGTGGGAGCAAGGGCAAGATGGATGGACCCAGCGGGATGGAGATGCTGAGGTTCACCAAGGTGTGGGGAAGTGGGGCGCACTGGGGATGGCAGTGTCATGCAAAGCTGGTGTTTGTTGTGGTGTGCCACCCTGTGCCTGGAGATGTCCCTTGCTGTGGCATCATCTGTGATCCTTGAGGTCTGATGTGCTCGAGAGCTCCTCCAGCACTCACCCTCTCCCCCCCAGATTCCCATCCAGGAGTCGCTCATTGAGTTCACGGATAACAGCGTCAACAAACTGGCAACTGAGACTTTCCAAGGTGTGCACAGCTCCCCACCACATCCCCTGCCCCATGGGTGGCCAGATGGGGTGCCTCCTCCAGCCTGCTTGCCCCACGTGCTGCAGTTTGGGAGGCCCTCTTGCCCTGGGGAAGGGATGAGTGAGCTCTGCCACCTTGTGGCTTTGTCACCCCCAGCTGTGATGAAGTTCATGGGTGACCACCCTCTGCGAGGGCAAACGGAGCTGGACATCGTCTGCACCATCCTCAAGGTAAACCCCACAGCAGAGTGGTGACTGGTGGCAGCGGCCATGGGGATGTCCTCAGCCATGCACTGAGCAGTGCCTCTCCCCCAGCTGTGCGCCGAGCATGAGGTGCTACGGGATGAGGTGTACTGTCAGATCATCAATCAGGTCACTGACAACACCAGCTCCAAGCCGTGAGTTCCTGTCTCCATGCTAGAGGCTGGGCTGGGGACAGCTGTGTCCTCTTGCAGCCCACACTGCCCTATGCTGGCCCCCGGGGCTGTGGGTGCCACCATGGACACCCTTCACTCTCCCTGGGGCTCAGCCCAGCCCCTTCCCTGCAGGGACAGCTGCCAGAAGGGCTGGAGGCTGCTCTACATTCTCACCGCCTATTACAAGTGCTCTGAGGTGCTCAGGCCCTTCCTCCTGGCCTTCCTGCGGAATGCCAGCCTGCGCCCAGAGCTGCCTTTCCAGGGTAAGGGCTGCATACGCTCCAGGGACCTTTAGGAGAGCCAGAAAAGGGCAATGTCCCAGCTCAGCCCCATCCCTCCTGCCTCTGTCCTGTGCTGCAGAGCCCCTGGGGCTGTCATCCCCACACCAATCTGTCTCTCTCAGGCATCTCCAAAGCCTGTGAGCAAAACCTGCGGAAAACCCTGCAGTTTGGTGGCCGCAGCCTTTTCCCCAGCAACATGGAGCTCAAAGCCATGGTGGTGAGGCCATGGGGTGCAGGGCAGGGCTGATGCCAGCTTGAGATCCCCTCCCAAAGTTTGGGATGTCTCTGATGTGCTTGGGAGCCTCCCATTGGGGAAGCTCTTTTCGGGATGCCCTGGGCTTTCAGGGGGGCAAAATGTGGCTCACCATCGCAGGGGCACCCTGGGGGCCTGGGGTGTCCTTATGGGGTGTGAGAAGTGCACCCCACGCCTGATATGTTCCCCTACACAGGCTGGGCGCAGCGCCAAGCGCCAGCTCTTCCTCCTGCCTGGTGGCATCGAGCGGCACCTCAAGATCAAGACATGCTCAGTGAGTCGGGGGGCATGGTGGCTGAGCGCACCCCAGGCGCACAGTCACTGAGCTGAGGGACTCTGAGACAAGAGGGTCTCTGGAGATTGTTTACCTGGGGAGCTGCACAGCGTGAACCCCAGCACAAGAGCTGGTGGTGGTCATGAATGTGGCAGGGGATGTGACACCACCCCAACCCCACATCTCTGTGCCCAGGTGGCTCTGGATGTGATAGAGGAGCTGTGCTGCGAAATGGGGCTGCAGCGCCGAGAGGCTCTGGATGAATATATCCTCTTCGTGGTCACCAACAGAGGTGAGGGGCCAATAGGCTCAGTCATGCCACCAGGCGAGCACCAAGTGGGGACCCCCACTGTGCTGAGGCTGCCGGGGCTGCACAGGGCAGAGCGTGCGACCTCTGACACGCCGGGAGTACATCTTGGATGTGGCCACCGAGACCGAGCGCCTGGATGCTGCCTACACCTTCTGGTGCCGCCGGGTGGTCTGGGGACAGCCCCTCAAGTTTGATAACGAGCTCTACGTCACCGTGCACTACAACCAGGTCAGGGTGTCCTCTCCCAACCATCGTCCTCTCCCAACAATTCACCACCCCCAGTGCTGGCTCCAAGCCGTATCACCGCGCTGTCTCCCTCCAGGTCCTTCCTGACTACCTCAAGGGGCTGTTCACCGTCCTGCCGCCCACCAGGCCAGGAGAGCAGCACTTCCAGCAAGTGGCCAAGCTGGCTGCTCTCCAGCACCGAGCCAAGGATGGCCACCACCTCCCCACCATGTACGGGACAGGCTGGGAGCCCATATCCTGCAGAGACTGGGGCCCATTGGGCACTGAAATCCCTGACCTCTGTGTCCCTGCAGGCGGGAGGTACAGGACTACATCCCCCCACAGCTCTTCCGCCTGCTGTCAGCCCCATCCTGGCTGCACATGGTGACCCAGCACATGCAGCAAGCACAGGCACTCAGTGCCCACCAGGCCCGGGCGCAGTTCCTGGGTGAGGGCTATGGGACAGGGAGAGGGATGGGGTAGGCAGGTTTCAATCCAAGAGATGCCGTCCTCCATCCACCCCCTCCTCCCTCAGGGCTGCTGAGTGCCTGCCCCATGTTCGGCTCATCCTTCTTCTACATTCAGAGCTGCAGCAACCACGCCATCGTCTCACCCTGCATCTTGGCCGTCAACCAGAACGGCCTCAACTTTCTCAGCAAGGAGACCCACGTAGGTGTGGGTTGGGGGGCTGAGCGATGGGGAAACCCCACGGTCCCTGCTGCAGGATGGCACAGGGCCGTGCGAGCCATGAGGAGAGGTGGGGGCCAGTATCTCCCTCCAGGCACAGAGCGGGGGCAGGAGGGCCTTCCCTACACATTTTGCTGGAGATGTGCTGGATGCGGTGGGGACCTCAGGACCGCCCTCTCAGCACCCACCTCCCCACCCCCAGGAGCCCGTGGCCAAGTTCTCGCTGAAGGAGCTGCAGGCGACCCGGACACAGCGCCCGGCGGCCGGCTCCAGCTCTCCTTATGTGGAGATCACCACCGGGGAGCTGCAGGCCCAGGGCGTCACCCAGCTGCAGTTGGAGCAGGTTGGTGGCTGTGGGGGGACAGAAGGGCCCCGAGCGTGCCCCGACGTTGTGTCCCCGTTGCCACGGCCCGGCCCCGTCCCCTTCCGCCAGGGCCTGGAGCTGTGCCGCGTGGTGGCCGCGCACGTGGAGAGGCTACTGGGGGCGAGGGAGAAGAGGCTGACGCTGCCGCCCAGCGAGATCACGCTCCTCTGAGCCCGCGGCCCTGTCCCCAACGCGACCCCCACCCCCCTCCTCGCTGTAACCCCGCACAGGATTTTATACAAGCCCACGAAGCGGGACCCGGCTGTATTCGTGCTGTGTGCTGTGCTCGCTGCGATCCAACCTCCCCCCGCACTGAGCCCCACAGCTCCTTTCGGTTTCCCCTCAGCAGCCCCCGCACCGGGCACGGAGCTCCCGGGTCCCCCCAGCCGCCAGAGGGCGGTAGTGTCCCTGCGCCACGCGTCTCGCAGGCATCTCGCTGGCCGCCCCAAAGCCCGCCGGCGTTATCGCGAGGACCCTCCCCCAATCAACCGTCGGCTAGGACTTCCGGCAGCCAATCAGCGCCGAGTCCCGAGGTGGAGGGGCGGGGCCGCGCGTCGCCGCCGCCGTCCGTCGCGACGCGAGGCGAGAGCGGGCGGAGAGGGGGAAAGGGCGGTGCTTCACGGCGAGGGGGCGGGGCGGCGGCGTGCGCGTGCGCAGTGCGAGGGCGGGGCGGGGCGGGCGGCTGTGCCGGCGCGGTGGGCGGCCCCGCGGCGGCGGCTCGGGATGTCGGGCTGCTTGCTGGTGACGTAGCGCCGCTCGCGCCGCGGGAAGGGCTGCGCCAGAGCTCCGGGGCCCTCCGCCGTTTCCTTCCCCGGTCCGGAGCCGGGGCCGGGCCCCGCGTCTCCCCCCGCCATGGGCGCCGGCGCGGTGGCGGCAGCGAGCAGGGCACGGCGCGGAGCCGGGGCCGCCGCCGCTGGGCATGTGCCAGGCTGGGCCGCCGCGTGAGCAGCCCGGGAGCCGTACCTTTGTCCGCCCGCCCGCCCCGCGGCAGCGCGAAGCGTTTTTAAATTTCCTCTCTCTCGCCGTTTCGTCCGTTGCTTCGCCGCCGCTCCCCTGGGCGAGCCGTGAGTTGGGCCCCGGGAGGGGAACGGCCGGGGGAGGGGCGGGACGGGGTGGGTCAGGCACCGGGAGCGGGGCTGTGGGGCGGAGGGGTACGGGGAGCTCGGGGCTGCGGGCAGGGCCCGGCCCGGCGTGGGCTTGGGGACCGGGCGGGAGGGCGGGTTGGGGGATCCGCTCTACCGGTGTTTGCTCTCACGTTGCCCCCCGGTACTCCCCCGGCAGGGCCATGAGCAGCAGCCCCGCGACCCGGAGCGGCGGGCGGCCTGGAGAGCGCTGAAGGAGCGGGGTGCAGCGGGCGCACTATGGCCGGCAGCGGCTACACGGACCTGCGGGAGAAGCTGAAGTCCATGATGCCTTACCGGGAAGGCTCCAAAGGGCCCCGAGAGCCCCCCGAGCCCCCCTACGAGCGTAAGCGGCGGTACCACGAGGACTCCGGTTCGGATCCCAGCGATTATGAGGAGCAGAGGGAGGAGGAAGAAGCCCGGAAAGTGAAAAGCGGCATTCGTCAGCTTCGCCTCTTCAGCGCCGAGGAGTGTGCCAAGATCGAAGCTCGCATTGACGACGTGGTGTCCAGGGCTGAGAAAGGGCTCTACAAAGAGCACACGGTGGATCGAGCCCCGCTGCGGAACAAGTATTTTTTTGGGGAGGGTTACACCTATGGGTCTCAGCTGCAGAGGAGAGGCCCTGGGCAGGAGCGCCTGTACCCGCGTGGGGAGGTGGATGCCATTCCCGAGTGGGTGCACGACCTGGTGATCAGGAAGCTGGTGGAGCACCGGGTGATTCCCGAGGGCTTTGTGAACAGTGCTGTGATCAACGACTATCAGCCCGGGGGCTGCATTGTCTCCCATGTGGACCCCATCCATATCTTCGAGCGGCCCATCGTCTCCGTGTCGTTCTTCAGCGATTCTGCGCTCTGCTTCGGGTGTAAGTTCCAGTTCAAACCCATCCGGGTGTCGGAGCCCGTGCTGTTCCTGCCGGTGAAGAGAGGAAGCGTCACGGTGCTCAGGTAACTTGCTGTGCTGGCCTCCGTGTGGCTGTGTGCTGAGACGTGGTTGTGTAATGCTCGTTATGAGACAGGCGGGCACGCACCCCGATGGCAGGTTGGGCTCATCTGCCTTTAGACACGCAGCAGGAGGGGACAGGGCGCCTTGCTGTCACAGTGGATGGTGATGGAAGAGATGGGGGCTGTTTCCTTTTTGCAGAGGTCCAGATCTGAATGTGGTCACTTGTGGGGTTGGGCATTCCTACAGTTCCTGTGAACAGTGGGAATCCGTATCGAGATACAAAATGGATCCCATGCCCGTGAGCTGGCTGAGACAGAGCTCCTGGTTCTATTCTTAGCTTGGCCTTCCTGACATGACCTTAAGTGTAGAGAGGTGGTGTGAGTAGCCTCATCCCAGTCCATGGGTTGAGACAGACAGACCCTCACCTGTGGGACACTGATGGGGGAGACCTGAGCACAGACCCATGTAGGACCATTCCTTGGAGGCACAGTGTAAACGCAGCACGGCAGCAATGCGTGCAGCTTGCAGGCATGAGAAATGCCTTTACTGGTGTTCCTGCAAGCAAGGGAAGCGCAGTGGAGGTAAAATGACCTGCCCAAGGTCATGGAGCAAGCCAGCAGTACAGCTGGGATTGGCACTGGGGAACGCCTGCTTCCTAATTACTGCTGTCCACCCGTGAGTGCACAGAGCCCCAGGCAGCAGGGGGACATCAGCATGGGCTGCTACAAGTGGCCCCACAGAGCCCAGAAGCCCCTTGTTATCACGGAGGGAAGCTGGAAGCTGGTGCTGGGGCTTCCTGCCTTGCTGAGCACAAATCCCTCTTGTCCTGAAGGTCAGAGTGCTCTCTGCCAGCAGTGGGATGGCCCAAACTGTGCCAACAGTGCTCTGAGCGACCAGCGCTATCTTTTGGGGGGAGGGGGGGGCTGGTGAACATCCAGGCCAGTTTTTTTCAGGGCTCCCCACTGGTAACCCAATCCTGCACTCCAGCTTGTAAAGTGATCGCTGCAGGGTTCAGGAAGGAATTTTCCCCACCACGTCCGTACGGCGTCGTGCTGTTGACTGGTGCATCAATAATAAATGCTGGGAGCTCACATCACTTTTATCTGGGAAAAGCGGTGCAAACATTAACTAATCCTCGTCGTACCCCCTGCCTTAGGTAACTTGTGCAGATTATCGAGGGATGAGAGAGCCAGCGGGAGGACACGGCAGCAGGAAGGGCTCTCCCGAGGCTAAGGACATTTGCTATGGTGCATGAGGCTGGGGCAGGGAGCGTGCTGGAGAAGGGCAGAGGTCAGCGCTGGGAGGGAGCCATGGGGAAGTGTCCTTTTACTGCAAGAGCACTGCGTGCTCAGCAGCCCCTGGTCTGGCATGTGTGTGAGACATGAGGAGAACTTTCTGCCTTCGTTTTCCTGCCAGCGATGTGAACCCTGCAATGCCTTCCCATGGAGAAGGTACTGTTTTCACCAGGAAACCACTGGTGGCCCTCAGTGTGAAGTAGGGTTGGGATTCCTGCAGCACTCTCTAGGATCAGGAGCAGTGTTTGCTCCAGGACAGGAGAATCGTGTTTTCTCATCCTTTATACCACTCCTCCAGAACTGCTGGGAAGAGAGGGCAGCTATGGATTCCCAGAATGGGAGTGAGTTCCCTGCCAGGCCCTGTGTATGTGTGTCACATGCACGGTTCGTGGTCTGGGTGCTGCAATCTGTTCGTTGGAATGGCTGAAGCAGTCGTACTGAGCAAGTCAAGGTATTTTTAATGCCAGAATAGAAAAGTTGGTGTCTGGGCAGCCCAGTGCTGGCTTTGCTAGCTTCATCCAGCAGTTAGATGTTCTCGCTTTCCAGCAAATAATAGACTGTAAAATGGAGATTGTTTCGATTTCAGTGCAGCAGTTAGCAGCTACTTAGCACTCACTTAAGAGTGATTCTGCCAGTGATTCTTCTGTGATGATACTGTCCCGGCCAGATAGGAGCTGGTGGAGCTGGTGGACCGGCAAACCTCCGTCCTGAGGTCTGAGAGCAGGAAGGAGATGTACAGCACGGCAGGAGGACCGCAGGGGTGCAGGGGTGTACCTCTGGATCCAGCTCTCAGTCACATTTAAGCCAACTCTCCAAACTTGGCTTTTTCTCCTCCCAGTAAACAGTTGCTGAAGGCAGTTGCCCTGGAGATAGGGAAACGGCGCAGATAGAAACAGCGTGCTTGAAATGTCTGCTTCCAGCACTGCTGGGTCAGGGGCTGCTCCGTTTGTTTGTGGCCGTGTGGATTTCTTGGGGATCTAAAGAGAGCTCCCGCGTTTCTCTTTGCCCCCACATCTCCAGCCATCTCTCCCCAGGTCATGCATGTCCTCCTCTCGGCAACATGTGCAAAATCCTCTGCAAAACCGGCATGAAGGGTTTCCCCATTTCCTGCCCCTGACCCGATGCTCTCTGTCTCTCCCTGGGGGTAGGTTCAGGTTTGTTTCAGTAAGGCTTTGCCTGGCTGGTAACGTGCCTCGTGGCACTGCGCGTGCAGCACGTTGCTAGTTAAACTTTACAGTCAACTGAAGCATTTGTCTAACAACACTGTGCTGTTTGCAAATACTGAACCTCCTTCAGGCTGTGAAGTATTCTCTGACGGCGTGTTAGGTTTTAAAAGTGTCCTCTTCGAAGAGTTTTGGAGGTGGAACAGGGATTCTGGTGGCTGTGCTGCATACCTGAGGACAAAGGCTGAGCCACCGCAGCCATCGCTGCTCAGCCCTTTGCTCTGCCTTCGAGGTATTTTTTTCCCTGTTTGCATTCATAGCGCTGATTTGCCCTGGTATGTTCCAGGAGAGGACCCCCCCAGGCCCTCTCTGCCGTGGCTGCAGGGTTTGTCCCTTTGCCGCGTGTCCTCTAGGCCGGGAGGAAATGGCAGCGGCGTGTTGCAGTGCTGCGGGGCTCAAGCAGCCCGAGTCAGGCTGCAGTGCGCCTCAGCCATCGGCTTGCTGAGGGTGGTTGCTCACTGGACCATGTTTATGAGGAGGCTTTTCTTTTTTTTTCCTGTTTAAAGGAAAAACCAACAAAATAATTCAATAAGCATCAATCAATAGAAGCAGTGTGGAGGAGATGGAGGAATTTGCACATCCGCCTGGGG